ATATATAATATATATATATATATATATATATATACATATACATATACATAATCTGTATATACTAGAAAACGGCCCAACAACGGCAAGAGGGGTTGGGGCAATTCACAGCAAGTCAATACACGCATAAATATATAAAAAAGTTAATTTTAATTCTGTTTACTTCATCGTGTGTAGTCCTCGTGATCATTTTTGATCTCTATTTCACTTCAGAAATCACATGCACGCGGCTTCCATGACACAATTCAGCCACTTCCACACGTCGTCTAACCACCTTCGCCTCAGATTTCGATACTCTTTCAACTGAACTCAGACGACTACCACAAACAACCACAACGAATGCTGTACTCTCGCGAGCCCTGCAATCCGGACCGGATACGTACACGCTCGTATGGAACTTGTCTGGGGTTTTTAACTTATGTATTGCGTTTAGCCATGTAATATGCTCCACTGAGTATCGGTTGCTAGTTGATATTCCTCTGCACAGCTCCGCCTAACGACACACCATGACACTTGCTGCAATAATAGCGTCTAGTAATATGATAGTACCCACTCCTACCTGGACGTGGACCTACATTAATCAGATGCATTTCTACTCGAGACCGACAACCTTCACAATCGAGGAGAGGTAAATATATTCGTCACCGCACCAAGATCGCGATGTGTATATCGTTGCCCCCTCCATCAATCAGGGGCCAAACTCTACCATGCCATGCAATGTATAGCTAGTGTGCTCTTATTGAAATACCACACTACACTTCAGGTGAGAGCGTACCAGGATGTTACTTTACCGTTGACCCCAGTCTGAGTATCCCCAGAAGAAGCTGTTGTGTACCTTCGGTTCCAAATTCCCAGTGTCTACATGGAACCCGTACAGGAATAGATTCCGCTTCCCGCACAAACGATCTACGCGTTTGTCAGCGAATGGCAGCTTGAAGGGGGAGCGTTTGGACCATCATGTTGCAATAAGATAGTGTAAGGGTAGACAAACCATGATTGGTGTGTCAATAACGCCTTGATACCCGCTGCTTGCTTTAAATGGCAACGTTGTTGTCATCCCAGTGCCTTCACAGCCAACTAGAATCTATGAACCGGTAGCGTATTATCCACATGTGCATCCATATATGCATATATATATAAATATATATATATCTGTATGTTCTATAAGAGTACAGATAGAAGCCTACACGGCACTTCATTATTCAGACTACCCTTGATCTGCTGGGTGTTTTTGTCGTAGCAGCGCTCAGCCTTTTGGCTTAAGCGTTTGCTGCGCTTGTTGATTATACATATATGCATACATGGTATACTTATATCACAAAACCATATGCATATATATATATATATATATATATATACGGATACACCTCGCTCTATATATTCCATAAGAATACAGATATATGCCTACAGGGCAGTTCCTCGTTCCAGACTGTCCTTGATCTCTTGGGTGTGCTTGCCGTAGTAGCGCTCGGCCTTCTGGTTGAAGCGCATGTTGCGCTCGTTGATGTAGTTAATGTCGCCGTCTTCGTCGAATGCACGACGACGACTCATCTTCTGCCGCTTCTCAATTCTGTACAAACGGCCGGGAATTAGAAAAAAGGATATATTAGTTCTGAGTATCCGTGCCAACTTAAGAAGGACATAAATGCTAGATATACGTGCCAACTTAAGAAGGACATAAATGAGTATCCGTGCCAACTTAAGAAGGACATAAATGCTAGATATACACGTGACAGACTGAGAAGCGAATTTCAAATATGATTTTACAACTTTAGCCCTAAGCACACACATAACACACAAGCACAACATATATATGTCGATATATATACCAATATACCATAGATGAACAAGCATCAACAAACAAACGCATATTGGACAGATCGATCCAACAGATTAAAAAAAAAACTACCCAGACGGTTATCATTGACCGCCCAGGCATTCCCAAGTCCACCCACAGCCAGCCCAATAGTACCAACATATACAACACACAAGAATGATATATCTACGTGGCTATATATATATATAAATAAATATAAGATATATCAACGAACAAAGCACACTATTTCTCCATATCATTGATCATGCGATCTACACTCCCCACCAGGCCGGTCCCAGGGGCACCCACAGTTAGATCATTGACACTGAAATATATCACACACAGGTATGATACTTCTACCTACGTGAATACACAACTAGATAAATGTATGCAAAATACATCAAACGATCAGAACACACCGTTTCTCCAGATCGTTAACCATACGGTCCACATTATCCACCCGGCCATCCCCAAGCGCTCCTACAGTCAGATCATTAACGCCCACATAGAAGTTGTCTCCCGCAATCTCTCGTCGTGCCTGGTATTCCTCTTTATCTACGCGAATGTTGCTCACGTTTCTCTGGTAGGATTGAGTGCCGGCGGTGATGTAGTCACCAAAACCTAAAGCCAAATGATTCAATATGCATGCATGAGTTGCCATACACACACACACGCACACACACACACCTATAATATATATATATATATATACATACACATATACATACATACAT